GACCCAAGCCATATAGGGCTTTAAAGGTAATAACCAACACCTTATACTTGGCCTGGAAACTGATAGGCAGCCAATGGAGAGACTTTAATACAGGTATTATATGATCTCTCCTTGATGTACCTGATACTAGTCTAGCTGCCATGTTCTGTACTAATTGAAGTTTCTGGACCAAGCATGAGGGTAGCCCCATGTAGAGCGCATTACAGAAATCAAGATGAGAGTTACCATTGTGTGCACCAGAGTTTCAAGGTCCCTTTCATCCAGGAAAGGGCGCAGCTGGCGTATCAGCCAAAGCTGATAACTGGCGCTCCTGACCGTCACATTTAATTGATTAGTCATCTGGAGCGACAGATCCAGGACCATACCCAGACTACAAACACAGTCCTTCATGGAGAGTGTGACCCCGTCCAGGACTGGAGGTTGTATCCCAATACCAAGTTTCGGCCATTTTTGCCATTTGAATGGTACTGATTTTTCCAGTGCTTTTTAATCATTTTAACTAAAAATTTGATTTTAAAAGTTGTTGATAGTTTAATTTCATTTCAATGTTGATCTTGTACATATTTTTAATTATACTGCATGTTGTACACTGTATATTGTAAGTTGCCTTAACCGCAGTGGGTTTTTTTTGGGGGGGGGGGGAAGGCAGGGTATACAAAGTTAATAATAAGAATAAATCTCAACAAACTAGTTCTACTAGTTTTCTTTTTCACTGAAACAAATGTTATCAGCATGGCCTCCCAGATGTTGTCAGACAACAGCTCCCTCCACCCCTCACTACTGGATAAATCTGGTAGGGGGTACAATTCAACATCCTCTGGAGGGTTGCCTATTTCCCATCTCTGTGCTAATGAGCCTTAACTGCCTACTGAAACCAAGTTACCCCAAATTATTCTGTATTACAATAAGAAATAGCTCAGAACAACACAATGTTGCTGGGGAAAAACATTCCACCTGTCCCTGCAACCACTATAAAGATTGTTGGTAATCTTCAATCTAGTCAGAGAAGCCTAAAGGGATGGGAGACACTATTGTTCCAGCTACTCAAAAAGTCATGGAGCTTCAACACTGCAAGTCCTCACTCCACTGCACCACTGATACAACCCAAAATGAGCAGTCAGAAGAAAGAAAATAAACTATTTGAGAGGAAAGGGAGAATCATTTTATCCGTCTTTTAAAATCAAAAGACAACACAAAGGCTTGTAACACAGCATACATATTGCTCATTGTAAACCAGAACAAGTTTTTATTGATCAATAAGCAATAAATCACTTGTTAGCTTGAGTTCCTCACTATCAATCACTTGTAATAGATGTTTTCCTCTGTGAGACCATTAACATTCTTCAGAGCAAGTTTTGAAGCAGCTGAGAATGTGCAATATATAAGGAAATGCATTGTCATATGCAGTAAAGAAAAACCTTGCAGTTCTTTAAAATTCCTATATGCCTCTTCTATTTTCTCAAAAGCTACTAAAGTAAAAGCAAACTCTGTCGGCTCATAGCCTGAAATGCAAGTAATGTAACATTTATTTATTTTATGGGGCTCAACCATACATAGTGCTCTGTCTTGGTCCTCCAGTTCCAGACAACTGGAGAAGACTGGCTATGGTTACATGCGGCCAAATCAGAAACAATACAGATCACAAAACTAGCTAGCCTCTGTAAGAATGGAGTTTTACTTAATATATAAATACCAAGTGTGGGTTCCTAAATCAGAACCAATGGCAGGGTTTAAAGCAGGAACAGGCAACCTTTTTGAGACCTGGGTCGGTCTCCCGTATCCCAGGTCTCGGCTGGGCTGGGGGGGGATGGCGGCGCGTGCACTCATGCGCGCGCACCCTCCGCCACCACGGCGCATGTCGTGGCCGCCATTTTGGAAGTCAAAATGGTGGCCACAACGCATTTGCACATGCGCAAGAGTACTGCGCATGCGCAAACACGTCGCAGCCGCCATTTTGACTTCCAAAATGGCGATCGCAGCGAGTGCGGCCGAAAATGCGCCCCGATGGCGGTGCGTGGTAGCAACCTTTGGCCTGGGCCGCTAAGTCAGGGGCCTGGGGCCTTAACCGGCCCCCGGGCCGTAGGTGGCCAGTCCCTGGTTTAAAGTATTCCCCACACTATGGTCCCTATCCACATTGGGGTTTATGCTTGCTATTCAATGAAATCAGAGACATACAACTGTTAAGGGGACAGGAGCCATATTTTACTATACACACCAGATAGTTGTAATGGTGAATATGACTTGCCCAAGGTTTCCATGGCTGAGCAAGAATTCAAACCCTGGTCTCTAGAGCCATAGTCTAATGCTTAAACCACTACACCATGCTGCCTCTCCTTTCATTAGTTTAGTAACCCTTAATTACCGTATTTTTCGGCATATAAGACGCTCCGGCATATAAGACA